AACATAAGCAACGAGGGCCACCGCCCCGGTACACTCCTCGAAATCACCTGGAACTGCTGCTAAAAGTATGCCTCACCCAGGAAGGTACTTCCTTGTTCTCTTACATCTCAGTCCCCACTAATAACTCTCTTATGGAATGGGACATACTTCGCAGTGGACATGCTGCTCAAATACTCTGGTGAAAAGATCACAACCATATGCTACCCCACAGGGTTTACCTCCATCTCTGAAACCAAAAGTTCGCTATCTCCTTCGCTTCTAACAGGAAACGGAACAAGCGCAACTCTTGTCACAAAAAGTGACACCTCATCTACCGACTGACTGCTCAAATCAGACCGCAGTCCTCCATAAAGCCTCATCCCTGCTCATCCGTGAGCCTTGCGACTCAAACTGACGCATCACCAGTAAAATCTCTCGAAACTAACTCAAGTTCCTTCTCAAGGTAGGTCCCACTGAACTTGTTCAACATGGCCCTCTGGCCCCTCACTCTATCACATCTGATCTCAGTCTAAACAATTACAACAGAATAACTGGTAAACCAGAAGCACTAACCGCCACGAGTCATGGTACTCGAACCATGTGGCCACCTCTCGATCTGCTATGAATCATGGTACCCGAACCATGTTACCTCCTCTCAATCCGCTACGAATCATGGTACTCGAGCCATGTTCTCTCTTTTAACTCCGCTACGAATCATGGTACTCGAACCATGTTCTCTCCTCTCAATCTGCTACGAATCATGGTACTCGAGCCATGCTCTCTCTTTTTTAATCTGCTACGAATCATGGTACTCGAGCCATGTTCTCTCTTTTCAATCCGCTACGATTCATGGTACTCAAACCATGTTCTCTCTTCTCAATCCGCTACTTAGAAATTCTGGAATTCTCCCTGTTTCGAGTATGGGTCCTCTGCTTTCAGTAGTACGGGCCCATACTACCTGCAACATCTACCCATACTTTCCACACAGATCGTCCCAGATTTCCTAAGTAGTTGTTCAACCTTGTCGATCACCATTCTCGATACGCAAGTTCGCCCTACAGCGAATACTCTCCTCCGTCAGCGTACTCATCTGACTAAGTCCACTCCCTAGGCTCTTTCTAGGTTCTCACACTTCTTTACCCTCAGCTGCTGAAAAAACTCATCATAATGCCAACGATTTACCTCCTGAATATCGTCATATTCACTTAGTAGCAGCCTCCCATCATCAAGAGTTCCACAAAGCACGAAGCAAGCAGCATTCGGGCATCGAATGACCCCTACTAACACATAAAGCCACTCTGGCATATTCTTCCTCTTGCTCTATTCCCAACTCAAAAGACGTTGTTGACTCAGGAAATCCTACCTCTCAAGGTATCTAACTACTCTACTCAGCACATACTCAAAAGCACATCATAGATAGCAGCAACTCTTAGGCTAAGGCATCACAAATCAGGCAACTCTAGTCCAAAAATATGTAATACCTAGCCTATCTCTAGCATGCATAATATCTCATAAAATATCTCATAACATAAAAGTAAGGGTATTTTGGGAAATCACCGTTCGGGCTCTGGCTGATTGTACACACTGCTCCAACTCGTTTTCTCTTAAACTCTTTCTCATTTTTAGAAAAATCTATCTCTTTTGAAAATCTTTCTCAATTCCCCAGTTTGAGTTCAAACACACCCGAAGTTGCATCCGAATCCCTCAAACCAAGGCTTTGATAATGACGTAAATTTTCAAAACAAATTTTTCATTTTAAATCATATAATCTTCATAACACATTTCATAAATTCTCATTTGTTTAATTTACAAAACGCACTCCATGTTTAATTAATTAATAATCCAGGATCCTCGAAACATAATTCCTTCTCTGGTGTGTACAATCAAGCCGGTGCCGTCCCGCGATCCTGAGAAAACCTGAAACACATAACACATAACACGGTAAGCATGAAGCTTAGTGAGTTCCCCAAAATACCACACACAACATATTAGCCACTCGAGGCTATAACTCTGAAAGACCCTCTGGTCACTGTGTCTCAGTGGGACCCTCCAGTCCCACAACTCTGTGGACCCTCCGGTCCTAACTCTGTGGACCCTCCGGCCCTAACTCTGTGGACCCTCCGGTCCTAACTCTGTGGACCCTCCGGCCATAACTCTGAATAACACATAACATATCATATATATCACACAAACAAAATGCATAACTCAAGTAAGCACATAAGATACTCTATCACACAACTCTGGTTACCACTCTAGCTAAAGTATAGTGAGAAGACTCACCTCGGGTAAACTTGGATGATCTCGAACTCGAAACACTGATCTAGCCTCCGCCTAATCACATCTAATTAACAATGGCTCTCAAAGGCTAGACTATTCCCTTCTTATGCTCTCTCTCAGATGGGTAAAAGACCATTCTACCCTTCCTGACCTCTTTCACTTAGGCCTGGCAATTGGGTTGGGTTCGGGTTGGCGGGTCACGGGTTGACGGGTTGGCGGGTCACGGGTTGACGGGTTGGCGGGTCAGAATACATTGACCCAACCCAACCCATATAATATATGGGTTGGCGGGTTGGCGGGTCACGGGTTGGCGGGTTGAAAACATCAACCCAACCCAACCCATATACCCCGTATAAGTATATGGGTTCATGGGTTCGTGGGTTGAACCCAACCCGTATAACCCATTTAATAAGCAACACATTTTAAAATTAAATTAAAAAATACAAATAAATGAAGTCATAAAGTCTTAAATATTCAACATAAAGTCATAAACAAGAGTGACGACGACGAGTGGTGTGCGACAGCCGGAGGACGAGAAGACGAGTGGTGTGCGTGCGACACTGCGACAGTCGATGACTCGATGCCTCAATCGACGGATACGGGAGACACGGAGTCGTGAGTTTGGAGACTGAAGACTGAATTTCTTTTTGATTAGGGGCTTCTTATGGTCTAGGGCACACTAAGTCGACTCGAAGATGTTTTGCAGTTTTGGAATTCGGAAAACGATTAAACGATAATCAAATATTCAAAACTGATAAAAATTTAAATATATTTTTTAAACATTATATATATATATATATATATATATATATATATATATATATATATATATATATATATATATATATATATATATATAATCGGGTTGGCGGGTTGACCCGCGAACCCAAACAAGTAACCCAACCCAACCCATGAAATAAACGGGTTGACGGGTCAAAAATCTCAACCCAAACCCGTTTATTTTCGTGTTTGGTTACGGGTTGGGTCGAGGATTGCCACCCCTACTTTCACTCATATTGACCAAACCCTAAGGTCAACAAAAGTCAACTCCATCTTTGACCACACTCGTCGAGTCCAGTCAATTCATGGCAACCCCAGCAAGCTCCAAATCGACGAGCTAACCCCTAACTCGTCGGGTCACCACCTGACTCAGTTCATCGGGACAAAACCCTGGCTACTCGCCGAGTCAGCGGCTCAACTCGGCGAGTCTATTCAGACTCTTTTGCATTCAGACCATTTTAGTGCAATGTACTTTCCCAAACTTCAGATCTATGCTCACAAGGATCATTAATCACGTAAAGGTTCGATCTTTATGTCCATGCCTCACACATCTAGCTCTATTTGATAAAATGACCTCCATAATGGTGTCTTAGGCTCAATACTCTTATGTGGCTGCATAAAGCTGGGTTCTTGGGACTCTCTGGACCTCTCAAGGTCCAGATCCGATGTCTAAGCCTCAAAGGGACTACACATATTCCATAACTCAACTTAAAAGAGGGTAAAGAAACCCTAAATTCATGAGATCTACTTTTCATATGAAAACAGGTATGGATTCATACCTTAAACAACAGCCTTGAATGAAATAGCAGAAGATCTGAGCCCCTCAAGTCAGCTTAGCTTGAACCCTCTCCTTCTTCCTTGCAAGAATGCACCAAGATGATGAAAATTAGCTCCCTCTTTCTCTCTATGCTCTCTGGATCTATTAGGGTCTCTCAAGGGAAAGTGTGGCCGCAAATGAAGGCCATAAGGGCCTTTAAATAGGTCACAAACCCGGACAATTAGGGTTTCTCTGCCCAGTATCTACTCAGCGAGTCCCTCCTCTGACTCGTCGAGTCCACTCATTAAATCCACGCGAGCAACTCGACTCGACTCGGCGAGTTGGTCCCTCAACTCGTCGAGTCTCTCCTTCAATCTCAAGATTAACATACACAATAATGTCCCTGAAAATCCGGATGTCACATCAACCAACACCGTATTCAACATGCATGCGATGTTGTTATGGACTATCAATGATTTTCCAGCACATGGAAGTTTGTCTGTATGGAGTGGTCAAGGTTATTTAGCATGTCCTACTTGTAACGCAGACACATCTTCCATTCATGTCACCAACAAGATGTCTTATGTTGGTCATAGACGATTCTTGCATATGAACCATAAGTGGAGGCAAAGTTTATTGTTTATTGGTCAACCTGAGAGAAGACCACATCCAAGACGATTCGGTAATACAACTATATTAAAGCAACTGGCTTGTCTCCCTGATCGTGTTCCAGGGAAACATCCTGAGCACGGGGGCAACAAGAAAGCGCAATGACAAAACAAGAAAAAGAGAGTTGAATTGGTGTAACTTTTCCAGACGACAAGTCGTCTGGATAGAGTCTGAATAAAACTTTTTTTTTTCCTCGAAAATCAATCACGACGACTGTACCGCCGACATTTTCAACTTTTACCGACGGAGCTATGGCGACGACTTTTTACAGACGATATATCGTCTATATAACCTTTCCCGACGACATGTCGCCGGTACAGTGTCCAGAGTTGTCGTCTGCATAGGGCTCGATCCTTGTAGTGTATATTTTTGTAAGTTATATATAGATCATAAAAAATACTCAATTTGCTGTTAAGAATTTATTATGTATTCCATCTGTTGTATGACAATACCTTTATAAATAATATTATCACAAAATTATAACAAAATTATGACAAAATAAATAATATTATTACAAAACAATAATAAAATCAATTTTGTTGTGTGAAATACTTAAACTTTTAACACAAATATATATTGTTTCATGTTTAAAGGACAAATTCAATTAAAAAAAAAAGCAACATCAAATATTAAATCTTACAAGTCGCATGCATCCTCGTGTGATCACAAAAATTAAAGAAATCAATTAACAAACAATGAATTGTGTTTGGAAGAAAACAAAATAAATAGAAGGATGGATGTTGGATGGATCTAGTAGCCTTCTTTGGGTAAAGAAGGTTGGAGCCCTGCATTGTATATGAAAGGGCCTACTGATGACAAACTGTATCCGTTGAGCATACGAGAAAAGGTAAGATGAGCACCCGTGATTCCTCCATTGGTATCTTCAGGAACCTTGCAGCCTGTCCATGGTGAGTTCTCAAGGAAAGACTTGCACTGAGTTACCTCCCAGAGATCATTTTTTAGAAGCTCTGATGATGATATTTTGGCCAAAAAGTAACCCTTCACATCTGCCGGACAACTCGAGAATGAAAACGGTGCAGATTCATATCCGTTCTTGTGCACGGCCAAACAAGTAACTCTCACCGTCGCTCCTGTTTTCATTTGATTAATTAATACTCCATAAATTGGTTACCATGCATACTATATATGATCATTATTTTCATGGGTGAGCAAAACCTACCAGTTATTACTTCATTTACGATATTTTTTTACATGTTTTGGGTGTATAAATAAGTTATAAAAACCAATATTTAAGTCCAACAAATGATGATATATTTTTTCCAACAGATTATAAATAATGAACTAGCTAGTACCGCATGCAAAGTGCGTATTACCTTTAAGTGGGATAAGTTTGGAACCATATTTACAGTAAATAAGACCTTGAACGGCTATGTTGGTGGGGTGTTCCGGCACCTTGGGTAGCTTGGGCTTTTCAGGCATTGGTATCTTAGGGTTGCTCTTTCCGTAGGCTCCATGTTCTTCTTTTGGTATCAAAGGCTTTGGTGTGGGTATTTTAGGATTGCTCTTTCCGTATCCTCCGTGTTCCTCTTTTGGTATCACGGGCTCTTTGGGCAGTTTAGGATTGCTCTTTCCATACGCTCCGTGTTCCTCTTTTGTTATCACGGGCTTTGTCGGTATCTTAGGAATCCCCTTTCCGTAGGCTCTATGTTCCTCTTTTGGTATCACGGGCTTTGTTGGTATTTTAGGATTGCTCTTTTCGTAGGTTCCAATATGCTCATCTTTTGGTATCACAGGCTTCGTTGGTACCTTAGGATTGCTTTTTTCATCGGCTCCATATTCCTTCTTTGGTATCACAGGCTTTGTTGGTACCTTAGGATTGCTCTTTTCGTAGGCTCCATATTCCTCCTTTGGTAACACGGGCTTTGTTGGTACAGTAGGATTGCTCTTTTTGTAGGCTCCAAATTCCTCTTTTGGTATCACTGGCTTTGTTGGTATCTTAGGGTTGCTCTTTTCGTACACACCGCGTTCCTCTTTTGGTATCACACGCTTCGGTGGCAAATGTCTGTCAAGCTGTGGTTTTCCATAACTACTATCTGCAGAAGCAACAAAAAATAACGTGATAATTGACAAAAACAGCACAACCGAAGCAAATTTTAAGGTAATTGCTTCCATCTTTGTACTTATTGATGGGGAGCGATGTTTTTATGTGTTATAGGAATCTAAGTTCCTAACGTATTTATAGCTCTGTGATTGTATAAATTAATAATTAACTAGTTTAAAAACATGTAGCTTTGTTTGTGCCCATGACATGGGTAGGTGGCAGGTGCAAAGATAGTGGATTACTTGTTAGCACGATGCTAAATTGACTATGGCCGAGGTGGGGCACTTATCATTTGTTATAGGCAGCTTTGCCACATTAAACAGGTATGTTGGGCCTAAAATCTAGGTTAATATTTCAGGATTTTATTTGGGTTTAAACCTTCTTTTGTTTTAAGGAAAAATGTAATGTTTATTATTATTATTATTATTATTATTATTATTATTATTATTATTATTATTATTTTTTTCGTTTTAGCCATTTTAATAGGTCTACCGGTAGATTCTCATTCTCAGAACGTGATGTTGTCCTCATTAAGCCAGATATATGAACATTTTTAGTGCCTCTTGTTATACATGTATGAAAACCATCTATAATAAATATCATATTCATCTATAAAAGCTTCCCAACCTTGTTCAAATTGATGGGTTTCGGTCCTTGAATTCCAAACTAATGAATTGAAACATTTTTTGAAATCATGATTGCCATATAAACTCGTAGATACCTAGCATAATATCGTTAATGTAAATACTCAATAATATTTAATAATCATTTCATTTAACATGCATCAACCTATCTTATTTAATAAGTGTAGAAGTTGTATATGTTGGATTAGGTGTGTAAGCCCATAACTAAAATGAGTATATACTTGAATCGATAGTAGCACACTCTTTTTGGGTTGCCTTCAAACCTAGCAATTGGACATGATAACTTTTAGAGACGGAGAGATTAATTTATTATGTGAATAATAAATTAAATAAATGGTTTATTAATGTGTTATGAAAATAATACACTATTAGAAAAAGAGGTATCAACGACGGACAATTCCGTCGTTGATCCATTGAAGGCCATCAGAGACGGATTGACGACGGATTTTGGTGGTCGAAAAAACCCTTGTCGCTAATGGTCAGCGAGGGATTCAGCGACGGATTAGCGACGACATAATTGATCATGGAACCTCTCGATTTCGTCGCTAATACGTCGTTGATGTCTGTCGCTAATCCGTCGCTGATGAGTTATTTAACTACAGAATAACTGGTCAAGAAAGCTCATAAAACCAATGAATTCCTCACATTTCTATCGCTGATTGTCAGTTAGACCATTAGTTTTTCTTTTCTAAATCTATAACGAGAATTTACAAAATAAATTTAATGTATATAATAACCTAAAATTAAAATCCAACTACTAAATTAAATATTAATATTTGACTGGCAAAATAAAGATTAACTTTCAATTTTAAAGTATTCAAAGTATACAAACCAAATCACATTCATAGTGTTGAAATTAAATCACAGAAATAAAATGTCAAAGTCTATATCGATATCAAAGTATTAAAACCAAGTTCAAAAATCAAGTGTCAAAGTCTAACTAGTTGGGTAGGTTACGTCCTTGGGTGAATCCTCTGAATGTTGTTATAAATCTTAACAATGTCTTGTTTTTTGGCCGTAATTTCTTTCTGCCATAAGCTCATCCTTTATCTCCTCACGAATACGATCAACAATAACCTACATAGCAAACAATTTGTAGCAACGTACTTTCAATAAGCTTATCCTTCATCCTTTAAAAACTAATTTCATTTTAAAAGGTAAACAAACCATTAATTGATAATAGCATTATAACTTATAAGAGGCCTTACTTTGGTTTTCCATATCCAGTAAATGATTTGGAGTTTATACAACATAATATATGATCCAATTTTCGACTTTGATTTTGAAAAGAAAAGGGTGAAATCACCATTTAAAGCATTAGAAGCCAACATGTCCTCTACATCATCCAGCCATTTGATTCAAATAGTTCCAATTTATAAACAAAATATATAAACACAACTAAAATACAATATAGTATCTTAGTAAAGAGAACAAATACATTTCATTATATCATTGAATAATGATGAATGTTAACCATAAAAAATATTTTATTATTATTCATTATGATGAATGCCAACCATGAAAAGAGTAAGAACCATTTGTAGGTGAATACATGGAGATAAAAAGATCAATAGTTCCACCGAGACAAATACCTTCTAAAAAGGGGGAATGGCTTCTTGCCGGTTTCCATCGAATTACCATTTATACTCCATGAATAAAGCAGAAAAATTTGGAGGTGGTGTGGCTTCTTGCTTGTTCTGTGTGGGATTTAGACAAAATACAAAAGTTTTTGCCTCAAATGGGGTATTTACAGTCGACATGCGTCGCCTCCACAACATAATTTTATTGTAGTGGGGCTGGTGACGACAGAAATCATCGATGTTGCGGTGGGGGTGGGCAGAATCGGCGACGTTGGATGTAGGGGTGGCGGGATGAAATTATGGAAAGAGAATGGAGGACTGAATTTAGGGTAAGATGTTTTTAGAGAATTTGAGAGGAAGACGTCGGAGGGAATGAATATATTTCGAGGGAACTCAAAAAATTGCGAAAATATGGGAGGGAAATAGAAATCAGCGACAACTTAATTGATATTTACCTAGTAGTATTTAGGGTTTATGGAGCTTTGTAATTTCCGTCGTTGATCCCTAGCAAATCCGTCGCTGATTAGCAACGGATATTTTTCGTCGCTGATACCTCATTTTCTAGTAGTGATATATTAATTAGAAATCATATTATTTAATTAATAATTAATAAGAAATTAATTGGATTAATTTAAAGTACAATGACAGTTTGGTTATTTATTGATAGTTGAGGAAGAAATGCTCTATAACCTCATGGAATGAGGTGGACGAAAATCATCTAGGGTACGGCCTAGATGATTTCGTCCAAGGCCCCTTGGATAAGGGGTTTGGGCTGCTTGGTCACCAAGCAAGGGAATCTAAGGCTTATCCCTTGAATCCTAACTTTGGCCCTAAGTATCTTCAACTATATAAGGAACCCCTAGCCCCTTTCGTCCACTCCTTCCCTCTACAAGCCTTAGACGAAAATTGTTTGTCCCTACTCCTCTCTCTTAAGTTATCCTCTTGCTAGCTTGGGTGTGATTCCATTAGAAGCACGACATTTGTGGTGCCAGCTTCCAAGAGATTTTTCAATGGGAATTTCTAGTTGTTTTCTATAACAACTAAAATGTATGTAATCCTAAAACCCTCTCCTTTATTTTTTTTGAAAATAATCTAGGGTTTCTAGGGTTCTTTTTGATGTTCTTAGTTAGGGGTGAGCGTAGGCTGGTACCCGGCCATATTTGCTGGAACCGGAACCGGCGGTTCCTTGGATGTTGGAACCGGAACCGAAACTGATTACACTTGTTCCTAGGATTTTGGAACCGGTTCCGGATCTGAATACCCTAAGTCTAATTTATAAAATGATAATAATAATAATTACTAAATGTACATTATAAAAAATACCACAAATTGCCAACCTATCTTTTAAATTAGAAATATTATGCATCATTTATATAAAACAAAGGACGCTTGGATTCGTTTTTTAAAATTAAATTAACCGCTAAGTGCTCTTTTGGAAAAAAAAAACACTTTAGTGTTTATATGTTAAAAAATATAAAGAAATGGCTATATAAAACAGATGATTAATTGTCTCAAAATAACAATCGACACAATCCACTAGAACCTAAATAAATATTGAATGCTTTCACTTTCAATGTGAAACACAAACGCCGTAGAACATAAACACATAATGAATTAAATAATATAAACTTATTTATGTATAACATGAACATAATACATATTTAGTATAGTATATTAAATATTATATAGTCGTTAGAATTCAAAGGAATGATTCCCAACAAGCACTTGTAGCTTGATATATTTGCAATCTAACATATAAAAATTCTAACATGAGAACATAAATCGGCGGGTACCCAGCAGGTAGCGGTTCCAAAAAAATAAGAACCGGAACCGGGACCACTTAAATCGGTTCCACTACTTTAGGAATCGGAACCGGCGGTTTCGAGGCGGTTCCGGTTCCGTAAGCGGGTACCTTGTTCTGATGCTCACCCCTATTCTTAGTTATAGGTTCAATAGAGAAAAAAATAGATCATATTTAGATTGCATGTAAACTTAAGGGTTTTACTTTTTGTTTGTTTATCTAAATCTCATGAGTGGTATCAGAGCATTTCGTTTGTTTCTTGTTGACTAGCTATAATAGAAGAATAGATCAATTAGGGTTTATAGAAATTAAACCCTAAAATGCTATGAATTTTGAAAAGGGTTAGGGTTTTAGAAACCCTAGCCTCCTTCCCCAAGTTTTTGAAATTTAGGGCTAGGGTTTTGAAACCCTAGCCTTCATCCCCAAGTATTTTCGAAAATGGTAGGTTATTAGGGTTTCCAAAATTTGGTAATTATTATTTTATTTGCCTAAAAAGAAATAATTAAAATTGGAATAAGTCCTATACCATAATTTTCGAAAATTAGAGGGTAAGGATTAGTCTTAAATTATTTGATTAATTTAATTAGTTAATATTTATTTGATTTATTATAATTCGTTAATTTTAATTAATGGATAAATATTAAATCATTTGGTTTATTTTTAAATTTAAATTTTCGAAAGTTCAATTATAAACCTAGTATTTTAGAAAAGTTTTAAAACACGCCTTATATATATATATATATATATATATATATATATATATATATATATATATATATATATATATATATACTATTAAAAGTTTAATATATTATCTGTATAAGAAAAGTCAGTCAAATCGCTAGTACGTCTCATTCACGAAACCATGCTATAAAGAGGGTATAAGGAAGCAGTGTAACGTCCCATTTTTCACAACCAAAAATTTTCATTTTTACTAAGGTGAAACTTCCCAATTTATAAATCCATTATTAAGAAAACCTTTTATTCCAAATTACATTTATTAAAAATCAAAGTATCATAGAAAACGCGGAATCCTCAATGCTGCTGATGAGTGTGTACAGTCCCGCCTTTGCCTTCCCATAGCCACCGATGATACCTGAAACAATAAACAACTGGGTAACCATAAGCTTAGTGAGTTTCCCCCAAAATACCCCATACGATAAACATACAAGCATGCATAATGGCCCACAACCTCCCGGTTGGAATGCCCAGGCCCAATCAGTCCTTGGACTGGAATGACAACATGCAACGAGTCCAATTAGCCATCGAGCTAGAATACCTAGGGTTTGTTGGCTTACCGCCTCAACCCAACTGCTCTGCGTGAGCCTCCGTGCCTTCGGCTTACATCCAGCCCGCATCGGGTATTTTGGCCTACAACACAAAGCAAGACCGCCTCAACCCAAACCAAACACAACATGTCGACATATAAATAATCAGGATCAAGTAGGCACATAATACATGCAAACAATAATCATACAACTCACTACCGCCTACTAGTCCTATCACAACATATAGTCCCGCTACCAGCTAACCTCCATAGAATTTGTAACCATAGGTAACCATAGGTGAGATAGCCACCCGAACAGATGATCCTACTCTAGAGCCACAACCAAACAAGGAACAGGCAAGAAAGCCTAGACAAAGAGTTCTCAGGCTATCCTACATGACCACAGACAGTCTCTAAGGGCACTCCATAGATGGTAACCAGCAAGCACAGATAACATACGGTTCTACAAATTATTACAACAAAGCAACATACTCGATACCAGAATTCAGATCTAACAGATCACTACAACATAGCAGCATACTCGATACCAGAACACAAATCTAACATATGACTACAACATAATAGCATACTAAATATCAACAATACAAGGAATACATGACCATATATAATCAGAGGTGAGATAGACACCCGGATAGGTGATCCTACTCTAGAACCATAACCAAACAAGGAACAGGTAAAAGGGCCTAGATCAAGAGTCCTCAGTCGATCCTACATGACTATAAACAGTCCCTAATGCATCCCTCTACTAACATATAATCAAAACTAGTGGGACGACATTGGTTCCTTCGACCCATGGTATAATGAGGCGAAACTCACCTCGATATGTGCGTAGGTAACCACCGTAGTAACGAAAAACTCTACCAGCTTCGACTTGTTAATGCATAAGAAGTGAATCTCTAGCAATCCAAATCAAAGCAAATCCGAAGTCACTCAATTCTGAGATGTGAAGATGTTATGAAGTTCCTTTTGATCCGAGATGATGAGATTATGAAATTAGAGTCCATACAAGCATTTAATTCTTTTTGTCTTTAGTTGATGTAACAGTTCTTAGGACTATTTCAGCAAATCTTTTAAGTGTCAGATTTGTCAAACTCTTTGTATTAACTAGTCCTTAGAATGTATTTCGGTTTGTACCATGTTCCTCCTTTACTATTTAAGGAGTGAATGTTTCATGAATTATTAACCAAGAATAGAAGTAATCGATATTCTCTTCACATCATTTCAAACTCTCTTGCAAGTTAATTTCTTTCACTTACATTCTACTTGTTCTAAATCGTATTTACTTTTATTATACTCAATCTTACTTCATTTTACTACTTGAATACTTTGTTGAATATTATCTTCAAGTCTCGACTATTTACCAGACTTGACTGGAACTACTTATTAGAAGCAGACATTGATCTAAAAGATTAATTCAAGGTTTGAGTTTTCAAACCTTGTCCGCACATTGAATTCTTGTTCTCACAATTGGTATCAGAGCTTGAGTTGTTTTCATTTGAATCCATAAGAACAGATTATAGTTTGATCTGAGATTACCTTGGTATCTCAATCATTTTTGTGTTCAGGATAAAAGTTATTCTATATACCGCTTCTACTCTCATACTTTAACGTCAATGGATGCTCCTAATCCATCACAATAAATGTGTTCGATGCAAATAGAAAATAGTGTGGGTTGCCCTTCTCGTGCCCCATTACTAGTTGTTGAAGAGTATTATCACTTGAAAGTCAGAATGGAAAGATTTTTACTTGGCAAGGAAAAAGGTGAAGAAATATGGAGGTCTGTGAAAGAAGGTCCACATGTTCCGGTCAGACAAACGGTGAGAGATGTCGCTGCAACTCTCATGGGCGAAGAAGATCAATGCACATCACCTCTTACTGCTGCAGACATCGAGAAATTGCATGCAGACCAGATTGCATTTTCCGAGATGGTGTTCGGTGTTCCTCCATCTCTTTTTGAGCACATTAAGTTTTGAAAATATGAAAAAGAGATTTGGGACACTCTTCAAGATCTGTTTGAAGGGTCCGAGAACATGAAAGATAAACGTCTGACTTCGGTTGTCAATGATTTTGATACCTTCACCACTACTCCAAGTGAATTCGTAGCCTCGGCTTCAAATAGGTAACGAATTGTTGTAAACAACATGACTACACACACTACTAGAAAACAACCCTTTAATGACATGCAAACAATGACACGTAATGATTTACGATACGCATTTTTTGTGTGTCCTAAAAATAATGTCAGCTTTCCAAAATTTGAAGGATAGAGGACACGCATTTTTGCGTGCCCTAAAATTAATGTCGAACAAAAAAAATGCAAACACGGTGGGCGCTTATCTTAAATGTGTGTCATCTACAAATGTCGCTTTATAATTTTTTTACTCAAACGCGCGTTTTTAAAGAGGGAAAATGAAATCCTCTGAAATTCTAAAATTTTGAACTACCCCGCTTCTGCACTCTCTCCTCTGTATCTCCCTTCATTCTCTTTGTAAATCCTAAGCCACCGCCACCACCATTGAACCCTAATAACTCAATCCACACTTCACGCTTCTGTGATTCTCTCCTTTTCGGCTCTCTAATCTTCGATTTCAGTCTGAAAACATCTATCGACCTCCCTGCTTCTATTAGAAACCCAAAAAATGAGAAAACACCACATTGTCGAGCGTGTTGGCATCGGTGCTCTGGTGTACCTTGTCATCGTTTTATAATTTGTCCAACCCTTTAATTTTAGCAAACCCACTGGAACCCTAAGTCTTGCCTTTTACGCTTTTACATCCTTCCTTCCCTAGTCGTCTGTTATTCTGAATCCTCATTTCTTTTCTCTATGATGAACACAATTTCTTTTGAAGCAATTTCTTTTTAGGATTGCTTTTAACAATGTGCTTTGATCCAATTTTTTTCTGTGTTTTCCTGTACAAAGCACTAACTATTCATCTGATCGTGGCGATGATCAGTGCATCGAACCCTAATTCAATGATGTCTTTGTCACCAACAACAGGAAACAACAACGCTTCTTGCCGCGGACAACAAGCATCGGGTTTGAATACGTATTTCAAAACTCCGGAAAGAAGGTATAAGCTTAAGTACGAGAAAAGTCATCTCGCCGGTCTCCTTCACTATGCCCATGGCAAGTCTGTTACTCAGGTAATATTTTCGGTTCTTGATCCACCCTAATTCTGATAAATAAGAATTTCTAACTTAGAACTGTCAATCGATATGAACATATATGTTCTTAAATCGAAATTTCATGATTTTCTATATACTTTTTTCATCCTGATTAATGTAGCGAATTATTGCCGATGGTTATGATCCTGCTAGCATCTCAGCATATTGGGGTAAAAGGCCACGAGCTGTTGCCACACGTATCACACAACTGACGTCTGTTGCAGGAGGATTTCTTTCACGCCTTACTTGGGACGAGATAAATAAGAAGGTTAAAGAGGTGATTTTGATCTATCATGCTTTCTGCACTCCACACATCTGTTTTGTGATTTTGATTTATGTGAAATCACAAAAACCATATACCTTGTCGCTTCTAAATATTGAGGAGAATATAGATTGTGATTTTTTCTGCTTCCTTTTAATTCATACTTCTTTGTTGTTTTTTTGTTATGTTGATCAGAATGAAGTTTCTCGGGCAATTGAGTTGAGGGAAATTGTAACCTCTTTGGGTCCCACATACATCAAACTTGGGCAAGCATTAAGCATTAGGCCATACATATTGTTCCCTGCTACAATGACTAAGCTGCAAAAGCTTTGTGATAAGGTTCCATCATATCCAGATAACATTGCCATGACACTTCTAGAAGAGGAACTTGGAGAGCCATGGCAAAACATCTATTCAGAGCTCACAACTTCTCCTATAGCAGCAGCCTCACTTGGGCAGGTGTATAAGGGCAGATTAAAGGAAAATGGGGATTTGGTTGCTGTTAAGGTACAAAGGCTTATGTACTTGAAACATTAATAGTTGATTTATTCATCATAAGAAACTTAGGATTGGCTCTTCGACGTTTTCCTCAGGTAATATTTGTCAAAATGTTGTTCTTTTTTCTGTTTTTCTTGATTGTCTGAGGGTAGAAAACAATTGCTTTATGGCATTTGACTATTTGTTTGTTTCATTTATAGATATCTTTGGATGTTGTTGGGTTGGTTGATGCATGGGTTGCCCGTTTCTTTGAGGAGATTGACTATATTAACGAGGGTGAAAATGGAACATATTATGCAGAGATGATGAAAAAAGACCTTCCACAAGTAATTTTTCCTTTTAATCTGTAACACCGTAAATTTTCAAACAAAATTTTCATTTTAAAAAAATCACAAAATTCTCATAAACATAGTTCACAAATCTCCAACATGACAATTTATCAAAAACACATGTTCATAAAATTGTTTAAACACAATCCAGGATCCTCAAAACATAACTCCGCCTCGTGTGTACAATCAAGTCGACGCCTTCCCGTGATCCTGAGAAGTACCTGAAACACATAACACATAACACGGTAAGCACAAAGCTTAGTTAGTTCCCCAAAATACCCCACACATCTCATTAGCCTCTCATGGCTATATCTCAAATAAGACCCTCTGGTCGATGAGTCTTAGTGGAACCCCCCGGTCCCATAACTCGGGTGGACCCTTCGGTCCTAACTCAGTAAAGCTCAGCATAATACACAACATAAATCACAAAGACATAATGCAGGATATCACAATACTCAATATAAGCATACAAGACCCTCCGGTCACACATAGTTACCACTCATGGTAAGTATGGTGAGAAGACTCACCTCGTAAGTAAGAAAATAAACCTCGTACACGAATCACTGATCTAGCTTCCCCTTAACACATATGATAATTATATCTAATTAACACTCCAATCACAACTCTAATTAAACCAAAGGGTATCCTCTCTCTCTCTCTCTCTAACTCTTGGAATGGGTAAAAGACCATTCTACCCCTCCATGGTATCAATAATCCTTGTCTTGACCAAACCCTAAAGTCAACTGAAGTCAACACTCGAGTCAACAATCCATGTTGACCCGACTCGTCGAGTGCATCTATGTGACTTGTCGAGTTCCCTTGTTCCTTCAGAAAAGTCGCGAAAACCCAACTTAACTCGCCGAGTTACTCTTGTCCAGACACGTCGGGGAAAACCCTAGCCGACTCGTCGAGTTGGCTCATCATCTCGGCGAGTCCCTCAAGTCTCTTTTCGCATTCAGATTTTTTAAGGCAGATTCTCAACCCCAAACTCTAGATCTAGCCTCCCAAAGCTAAGATACCACGTAAAGCTATAATCTTTACGTCCATGCATGGCACTTAGGGCTTGAAATGCCAAAACAAGTCCCATTTAGGGTCTTAAGCATAAAAGCTCCTCTGTAGCTGGATAAAGTTGGGACCTTTGGACTCTAGGGACCTCACAAGGTCCAGATCTGAAGTCTCAATCACTTGGTGAGTTCAACACACTCAAAGTCTCAAGGAAAGATGAAAAAATCCCTAAAACTCCATGAAAACGAAATCTAATCACAATAATGAGCAAGGTGAAGACTTTTTACCTTCCACAGAAGCTATAGATGAAATAACACCAGATCCAACATCCTCTTCTCGTTCCTTGCCTTGATACTCTTCTTTTCTCTTCAAAAGGTGCACCAAAATGCCCCAAGATTAGCTCTCTTTCTCTCTTAGCTCAATATAGGCGATTAGGGTTTCACACAGGGGAGTAAGGTGGCTGGTGAGACGGAAATGAGGACTTAAGGTCCTTTAAATAGGACCCAACCCCAGAGAATTAGGGTTTCCTCTCACAGCGCCAACTCGCCGAGTTGGTCTCTCCGACTCGTCGAGTTGGTCATAAAACCCACGTGGTCAATCCGCCTCTACTCGACGAGTTGGGGAATCCAACTCGTCGAGTTGCTCAAACAACTCATAAATAAATATATAAATATTATACTTGGGAGTCGGGATGTTATATAATCGAATGCATTTTGTGTCTTTTTGACCGATACATAATTACATATTAATAAGTTATCCTATTCCAGGTTGTGATACCAAAGACTTACACTAAATAAACATCAAGAAAAGTTCTTACTACACAATGGGTAAATGGTGAAAAGCTTTCATAAAGTACAGAAAGTGATGTTGGGGAGCTAAATACACTAAATACACATGAAGAAAAGTTCTTATTAATAGTTTTTTGAGTCCAAGTACAATTTCTGTCAAAAAAGAAGCAACAATTTCAATTATGCAATGCAGTGCAGCCTTTGCACACAACCAGAGTGTTGCACCTTCAGAAATGGTGAATATGTGAAAGAAGGGTTCGGTCAGTTAGAGCAATGGGGTACTCAGACCACAACTGAGGTAAATGTTGAAGTTTTTTATTTATTTATTTATTTATTTTTTGTAATGATTTTAAAAAATGACTCATACTTGATGAAATGGAAGGATAAAAAAGCCAAGAAAAGTTATGAAAATATAAAGTCATTCTTTTTTACATAAAGTCCAAACAAAATACCCATATATAGTTTTCTTTGACATAATGGGGGACAAAAATGCATTATTTAGCAATGAGGAGAAAGAATATGTATTTAAAGAAGTTCTTATACAAGTAGTTGTCTGAAATCATATTTTTATATTTTTTTGATTTGATTTGATTTGATTTGTGGTATGTTTAAACAGGACATAAGAGAGATGATATTTTTCCCTTTTGTGACTGAGGTTTGTCGAGTATATGCCAATCTAGCTGCAAAGGTATCTATCTTGTTTCCTAGATTGTCCCAAATTTCTAAAACTAGTTTCTATTTCCATAAAGATCCTTAGTATATAGTATTATGACTAATTTCTTAATGGGGGATTCCAAACTCTTTATAGTTTCTAATAGTGTCTCTTTCACATATCCTAATACGTGTACATCTGGAGGAATGGTTGGTTTTTTTGTGTTAGGATTAAACCCCCAAAACAACATCTAATCTGCATAGAACTTTAGAACAAGAAAGAAATATTAAATTCAATATATTTCTTTTACTTTCAAGATTTATCATTATAGTGAGTATAACATTGGTGCACAAGTAATTTATATATTTATGATGTTTTTTTTCAGCTTTCAAGGGTATTTTAGACATTTAACTATTTTTGTATTAGGTTGTGAAATAGGACACAACTTACATTAGTGTTTTTTTACTTAACATAATATTTTTTTTCCGTATTATGAATATTACACTATTTTTTTAACTGGATTGATTTATGTAACCAACTGAAACATTATATGTATTTTTTTCTCAGGTCAGGTGTTGCAAAGTTCATTATACAGATGATGATATTGATGAAATATGTGAAGAATGGTCGACTTTTGTTACAAGCTTCATTTATCGGTGATATTTTGTATCTACAAACGATATAACGATGAAATGTTAGGTAGCATCATCTTTTGACATCTGTATAATGTTTTTGTTAACTGTACATGTGAAGTGTTAGGTAGCATCCTCTTTTGACATGTAGTATACATACAATGTTTTTGATAACTTATTTGACATTTAGATGAAATTGAATGTTTTGTGTTATATTTGTTTCCGTATTATGCGCAAATGCACGTTGTAAATGTGTATCGTAAATGTACGTCGTTAGTGTGTATCGTTATTTGGCTATTGAAGTTTATGACACGCAAAGTGAGTGTCGTATTCATTTATGACAGCGGATTTAATGATACACATTACATGTCGTAAATTCATGTCGTAAGGGTACAACACACAAAATATGTGTCGTCTTTCTTTATGACAGGGCCTTCCTTGACACGCAATGCGTGTCGTACATGCGCGTCGTAAATGCGCGTCATAAGTTTACGACACGCAAAAGCGTGTCGTCTTCCTTTATGACAGGGCCTTCCTTGACACGCATTTGTGTGTCATCTGTGGCTTTTACGACACGCAATGCGTGTCATTAAAGGGTATTTAGTGACACGGTATAATCATAACTCCTCTTGAGTACAATCTAAAGTTTATCAATAGCCTCAGAAAAGGATGGGGAAACATCAAATCATGTCTTCGGAGTAATGGATCTTTGAAGAAGCTGAAGCTTTATCAACTCTTTGACGAACTACAAGGCCACAAATCTAACGTTGCACAAATGTTACGAGAACTGTATCGAGGTCCTCTTGCATTGGTTAGTCATGTTAACCCACTTATTCTGAACCCATCTGTGTCAGATCCCTTCAGAACTATCCTACCTGTTTCGCCCGTTCAACCAACCGTCCCAACTCCACCTACTCCACCTGTTTTGAACCATCCAGAGAATCTTGATCTAGATCCAGCTGAGTCTGAACTTCGCTTCTAACAGGAGTTTGCTCTATTATCCATGAAATACAAGCATCCATGGAATCCCAGTCATAAACCTTATCAAAACCGATTCCAAGCACCTCATCAAAATAATCCTCAACCATTTCCTAAACCTTCAGAGAACCCATCCGCTTAGAGGCCCAACGTCTCCTCATCAAGTCACACATCGGAATCCCATGAAATTCCAAAGTCAGACAAACCCGAGATAGTTTGTCATAAGTGTGGACTTGGTAACCATTTTTCCAAAGACTGCTTGGTTGAAACCTCTCAGAAACCGAAGGTTAAAGATTCTGCATACTATGCTCACAGATCTCAAGATTTGGAAGCAACTGAGAAAGCGTTTGTTACTACTGTGTCAAGAGATGTTGAAGGGTACCTGTCTTCTGGAGACGAGGATGAAGTGATAACTAGAAGGAATATGTGTCGTATGGCAAGACTATCGATCGAATGCGATGAAGGCTACTGGTCATCATATTCAGAAGAAGATGATGAAGATGATGAGCCAAACTTTTGCTATATGGCAACCAATGATCCACCAGCAAAGAGCATCGTTCAGCAGATAAGATTTATGATCTCTGAAAATAATTTTGATTTATCTCTTTGTGAACCATATCTAACCCAGATCCAATCAGATATGACCATCATCGATAAAGCCTATGAGTCTGCCACAGAAGTAAGTGGGAAGCAAGAAAGTGAACTAACCCGCCTTAGATTACGCTTTGACGATCGAAAGCTTACGATAGAATCACTTGAAAGAGAGCTTGTAATGTCTCAAGATGACTGTATCATTTTAAAACACAAATGTGAAATCACCTTTTGTGAAAGGAATATTTTAGTTACTGATAACAAATATCTTAATGCCAAATTTGATGCTTTACATCATGCAATATATATTCTTGAAGCAAATGAACAGATGACTCGTAATTTTCAATACCCATGGTCCAAAGCACCAGGCCTCGGAAGCGAGTTTCTGAAACCTGTTGCTTGTCCCTTGAAGGAATTGCAAAATCTAACTTTTATGGGAGACGTTCCAAACCGCAAACATTCAGATACCCCTGTCTCACATTGTCTCCCCTTCCTGATACTTCAGACCAATTCCAATCTCTTATTCCTGAGTTCCAACCTATTGTTGCCAAATGTCCTGATTCCACGCCTCTTCCGCCTTTGATACCCCTAGACCTGAATCTGTCTTTGGATTCATTCCCTGACATCATCCGTACTGGAGTTCAAATTTCGAACTCTGATCCTCCGAACAACTGTGTCATTGAGAAAATAATTCCCGAGACAAATGGACATAACTCTGACAAATCAGACTTCGTTTGGGCATCATTAGATAGTGACGTTGATGAAGATATTGTATGTGAGGATTCATCTGACTCGTGTATCTCTAATTTTGAAGTGATCTCGAGAACAACTCTAGTGTCAATTGTACCTAAGTTTAACAATCCATCATCTGGACACACTTCCAAGTCATCATCTGACTCTCGGAAGAAACCTTGGTTAAATAAGAAAGATGTTGTCAACCCTAAGATTGAAGCTAAAAATGCCCTTAAGAAAAAAATTCGGTCAAGGCAAGATGCCATATTCATTGAGAGATCCAAAAAGAAAGTATCTCGAACAATCAGTCCAACCACTAGGTACCACAATACCTCTGTGCCTGTTAAGATTCTTAAAAGTCCATCCAATCCTCCTAGCTCGGTTGTTAAAAACAAGCTTGTCAGTCCTAATCCGAAAAAGTTTACTGTTGAGACTCATTTTGTAAATAATGACTCTCCTCAGACAATTTCTTTTGTATTTATTGCAAAATTTGATGGTACTATTTTCAAATCACAAGTTTTCAAAATCAAATGTTTCATCGAAAGCAACACACAAATAACGGATTAGTAAGAACACTTTTGTTGGGAGGTAGTCACTCATCACTAGCATGAAGACCTTAATTGATCTGACATATTTGCTAATTGCTACCGAAGTAGAAATGTTGAAGAACACTGGTCAAGCAAATATATTTGAAGGATCTGTCTCTCAAAACTCCATGTATAATAGCAACACTTGTAGTCTAGAAAAGGTTTCTCTTCCCAATGGAAAGGGATCGGCCAAGGTCAAACCATTTGAGCATATGATAAAGAGAAAGGCTAATTTTGAGATAGTTCCATGTGTCGTTCCTGAAGAGTCCATATGTTTCCATTTTGAGAAGTAGTCGGTCATCACTATCATGAAGACTTTTCCCCCAGGGGCTACTGATAATTTACCCACGATATCCATTCCCTATTTCATGAATGGCCAAGGGGAAATCATAGGATGTAGAGGTTTTGCTGGTTGATGCAGGATGTTTCTATGTCTTTGACAAGCATCACATTTCTGAGCATGAAGGAAGGAATCTTTCTTCATGGTTGGCCAGTAGTATCCTGTCCTCAACACTTTGGAGCATAAGGATCTGCCCCCTATGTAGTTGTTGCAGTCTGCTTCATGTATGTCTCTTAGGACTTTTGCAACTTCATGATCTTCTAAACATCTGAGGTATGGACCATCCATAGATTTTCTTTATAACTTACCTTGGATTATAACAAACCTTGAGACATGTCATTGATGTTAGGATCCTGATATGGAAGTGTTGAAACGGTATCTTCGATTCTAGCGACGTTAGTAGTTCCCACATGATCGTCAAGATCCTTCAGTCTCTTGGCAGGATCTTTGGTTGTCGGGATCAACAGGTGGGTGATCGGGATCCTGGTTTCTGGTGGGATCCTTAGAGAGGATCCTATATCAGCTAAAGCATCTTCTTTAGCATTGTGTTCTCTAGGAACCTTGTTTAGGCTAAATGTTTTGAATTTTAAGGCTAGGTTTTTGAGGATCTGGAGATATAATGCCAACTTCTCTCCTTTTATTGCATAGGATCCATTAAAATGGTTAGTTAATAATAAAGAATCAATGAATAACTGAAGATCCTTTATTTGAAGATCTTTTTCCAGCTGTAATCCCATGATTAGTGCCTCATATTCTGCTTCGTTGTTGGTTGCATTGAATTCACAACTGATTGCTTGGGGTAGGATGTCCCCTTGTGGCGATTTTAGTATGATCCCCAAGACAGTTTCTCTTTGTTTTGATGCTCCATCCATGAATAGTGTCCATCTTCCCTTGTTCTCTTCTTCCAGAAATTGTTTGGCTTTTATTTCAACTTCAGCTCTTAGATCATCACTAAAGTCGGCGACAAAGTCTGCCATTGCTTGAGACTTTATCGCGGATCTTGTCTCTTACTTTATGTCATATGTGCTCGACTTCACATACCACTTTGCCATCCTTCCTGACATTCTGGTTTTCTCATAACATTCTTAATGGGATTGTTAGTTATTATAGTTATAGGGTGTGTTTCAAAATAATGTCTTAATTTAGTAGAAGCAGTTACTAATGCGAGTATAAGTTTTTCAAGGTGGGAGTACTTGGTCTCAGGATCCAAGAAACTTTTACCTACATAGTAGATGGGATGCTGGTCCTGTTAAGATCCGTAGCTAATACCGCACTTATCGTGTTTGAGGATACTGAGAGGTAGAGAAGGAGTGGTTCCCCGTCTAATGGTTTTACCAATAGGGGTGGTGAACTCAAATATCTTTTAAGTTCTTGAAAAGCATCTTCATGTTCCTGGGTCCATTCAAATCTTTTGTTTTTCTTCAAAATGTTGTAGAAAGGCTTTCATCTTTCTGAGGATCTTGAGATGAACCTATTTAAGGCTGCCACTCTTCTTGTTAGTCTCTGAATATCTTTTGTCGAGGATGGTGATCTTAGGTCAAGTATGGCCTTGATTTGTTCCGGGCTTGCTTCGATTTCTCTGCTGGTTACCATGTATCCTAGGAACTTACCTGATCTCATCCCAAAGTGGCATTTGGAGGGATTCAGCTTCATGTTATATTGATCCGGGATGTCAAAGGCTTCTTCGAGATCCTTGAGGTGATCCTCAGCTTTTTTGGACTTGACCACCATGTTATTGATGTAGATTTCCATGGTGAAACCATTTTCACTTTGAACATCTTGTTGACTAGTCTTTGGTAT